CCCCAAAACCCCAAAACCCCAAAACCCCAAAACCCCATTAAGCAAGAATAGTAGAATGAAAATGTTAATTAGACATTTATAATATAATCTAAAATGAATTAGATGTGTTGGTGAATATATCTTTATATTAGATTAGATCCAGATGGGAAGACTCAAAAATCAACAAAATATCTCTATTGCTCTTTTGAGGGCATGCTTGGAGTTTCAGCTGATTCGGCATATCTATCAAAGTACTAAGTGTCTGTAGGATTTCTAATCTTAGGGACCCAGGGAGGTGGAATCTTTCTGGCAAATACAGAAACCCAGTCAACACCTCTAAACCATTTATGAGCTTTGACATCATCAGGGCCATTCTAAAAATAGGTATAAATTTAATTTGGTATTTACCTTTGAGCAGCCTAATCTAATGCTTCTATCTGCACAGAGGAAGCTTTTGATGAGATCTCGAGCTTTAGGCTCAATATGAGGAGGGAATTCATAATATCCGTCCATGATTTTCTAATAAATACCGAGTGGGTTATCATCGTAGAAAGGTGGATATCCTGCAAGCATTTCAAATATTAGGACTCCAAGAGCCCACCAATCAACGAATTTATTATGACCCTTAGATTGAATAATTTCTGGTGCTAGATATTCAGGTGTACCACAAAGGGTATAAGTTCTGTCATTGACAATTTTCGCAAAGCCAAAGTCAGTTATTTTAACATGCCCTTCTTTGTCAATTAGTAGATTTTCTGGCTTCAAATCCCTGTAAGCAATATCCATTGAGTGTAAATACTCAAAAGCAAGTACGATTTCTACTGCAAAGAATAGAGCAACATCATTAGCAAATCTTCCCTCTCTTCTTAATAAGGTAAATAGCTCTCCTCCGCAAGCATAATCAAGTAGCATGAATACGTGAGAAGGTGTTTAGAATGTGCCTTTCAGGTTAACAATAAAAGGATGATTGATGGTCTCCAATATTTTCTTTTCAGATTTGACATGTTCAATCTACTTGAGTCTTATTATTTCGCTTTTCTTAAGACACTTCAAAGCAACTGGTTCACTTTCAGGTGGGTCACTTTTATGTTTGACTAATCGTACTCTTCCGAATGTACCAGTTCCCAAAGTAGATAAGAATTTAAAATCGTTGAGATGAAATTTGCCTAGAGCTTTTCTTCTCTCTCTGCCAGCTTCATCGTCTCCATCTACTTAATCTGAGCCTATGATAATCATTAAAATTTGCTCTCTCATACTAATATAAAAGTTTGCAATACTTACCAAGTGGGTCAGGGAAGGAGTCTTTCTAACGATTTCCTGCATTTTAATTCTTGCCCTTAGAAGAGATCATCTGCAATTTCCTCTTTAGCTCCTCCTTTTATTGCTCAAGTGTCATAGGCTGAGATTTCTGCACCTCATACTCGACCTCTTCTTCACCCGAGTAATCATAATCTAAAAAGAATGTAAATAGCTCTAGCACCTACCCTAATTTATATTGATTGCGTTCATCTGGTGTTGCATGCCATCATCTAACATCTTAATCGTTTGCTAAAATTTATAATTATAAGAACTTTAAATCAAATTTATTATTTATAATATACTCACTATTTTATGCAGCTATTTTATTCTCCTGGGGTTTTGGGGTTTTGGGGTTTTGGGGTTTTGGGG